AAAGTAAAAGATAAAAATATTTAATAAAAAATGAATGAATAAAAATAAATATAAAAAAATGTAAAAGTTTATATAAAATATAAAAAAAAATTTAAAAATAAAAAACATTTTCGGTCTGACATTTTTTTTAAATTTCGGTTTTGTTTCGGTTTTAAAATTTCCATTTCGGTACACCTGTAGTTTAAAGCCCTTCCATGTGGCCCTTGCTTTAAAGCTGTTTATGAGTTGATGAGTGCCTTTGCCATTTGTTTTGCTTGTGTGTTTGTGGAGACACACACAACCTACTAGCACACACAATGGTGGCTCCATAGGATCCTGCAAGGGAAAGGACCACCCTAAAACAGAATTCTCAGGGCCAGTGCTCGGGATACCAGCTTTTTTGAACTGTCTGTCTATAACCAGGGAAGGCAATTAAATTACCCCTAGTAACAACCTTCCGTGGAAACTTATATATAATAGGGTTGGAAGATTGCTACTGGGAGGGTTTTAATGGTGTTTTATTAATTGTGTGTTGGTGTTCTGATTTATCAATTAAGTGTTTTTGATACAGGGATAATTGTGAAAGGATGTTTCTTGTTGTGAAATCTCAGTTAAGGGAATTTTAATAAGATTTTGTTTGATTACAATATACATTTCTTTAAAAAAAGCTCTTCCTTTTTATTTGAATGATTACATTGTTTGTTTGATTATATAGGTGTGGAAAGGACAACCAGTTCATGTTCTCATTTTGTGCTGTGTCACTGGTGTGAAAGGCCAGGAGGGTAAAGAGGAAACTTAATCCTACATGCAAGCTTGTCTGTGCCTATGGAATTTAGACATATAGCATACACGCCATTGTTTCTATTGTCACTGGGAGGAAAAGCTGAAAGGGCCATTGCTGTCCTACTCTATTATTAGAATGTGTATTGTTCTCATTACAATGTTGGGCTCTGAAAGACCCTGTTTGGTTGGAAATATGGAAACTACAATTGCAAGCTGGTTCTTAATAGTGTAAGCCGGATCTTGAAGGCACAAGCCATTGGGCTTCCATCTTTTTTTTTTTTCTCTCACTCTTTTGCCTGGTGAGCCACTGATGTGGAAGAGGAAAGTGAATTCAGGTTTTCTGATACTAAACTGGCAGTGTTGTTTCAGCTCAGTGACTGTTCATTCAGTGAAGGAACAGATGATGGCCCTTTAACTTGCTCATTGAAAAATAAGTCAGCAGCTCCCATGTTCCCAGACAGGTTCCTTTTTAAAGTCACATTAAAGGAGAACTATGAGGTGAGTGCTTTTCACTCACCTCATAGTTCTAGCCGACCTGTGACAATGAGACTGTCACAGGTCTGCTCAGTAGATCGGGAGGTGAGCGAACACATACCGGCGTTCGCTCACCTCTCGATCCTGTCACGGCTCTCTGCCGTGACGGGAGGGGCTGGATTCCCCCCTCCCCTCTCCAATCCTCCAGCACTGACTGGTGGAACGGATGTGGGAGGGGGCGGGTACAGCTGGCTCTGCCTCTAGATAGGCAGAGCCAGCTGTCACTCACGCAGCTGGGCGGATCTCGACATCGATGTCGGGATCCGCTCCGGCGTCTCAGTATATCGTGAGCTGTAGGGAGGACGCTAGTTTGTGTCCTCCCGTTACCCTAAGGAGAACTATGGGGAAAAGCCCTGACCCCATAGTTCTCCTTTAAAACCTCCTGTATTTATTACTGTAATTCTATCAGGCTGTATATACAGTGGCAAATCTGCTTTTTCATACTAATTGCTGTAGTGAAAGTGAACATATTCTGTGCTAGCAGTACTTTGGAGAGTCATATCACTGATCTTGCACACAAGCAGCGGGCTGGATCCCCAGCTGTTTGGCACTAACCCTGCACATTGCTCCAATTGACAGAACTGCATAAGGAATGTGAGCATTAGGGATGAGCTCAGGTTCAGACCCGAACCCAGTCCAAACCTGAGCTCCTCTGAACACAGAAGCTCATGGATGCTTGTGCTGATGTCAATTACCGTGTTGCCATGTTGGGTAAATGCCATTGACCTAATATAGTCATATAGGGTCAATAGCATTACAGCAGCTACAGGCGAGAATTCCTAGGCCAAAGCTGATGGGTTGGCGATGGGAGTTTCCTTCAGGGTTCGGAGAAGCTCGCGATCGGACCGTCTGTTTCGCACACATGTTGCGCATCCAGTGCACCTCCAACAGTGTAAGCGTGTGATGCTGTAATGCGTTTTGATGTTATTGTTTAATCACATTGCCTCCTATACCCAACAATAGCTCACAGGGAAGGCCGTTACACAAAATGTATTGGGTGTAGGAGGTGACAGAGGTCTTGCACATCCTCTCAGCACTCAACATTGTAAGATGTCCACATTGCATCGTGTGATGGTGGGGTTTGTTGTAGGGCTCCTTCTCATAGCTCAAGTTAAAATTATATTAAAGTCAAAATGGTTTCAAGCTGTTTAAAATGCTGAATAAATCACTTACAATGGATGCTGCCCCTTGATGATTAAAAGTTTTAGTTTCCGGCAGGATCAGCTGGTCCCCTGAGGAGCGTCCCTTATATTCTGTTTTGGGGTGGCTCCTTTCCCTGGCAGGGTCCTAATGGAGCCACTCTTGTGTGTGCTAGTTGCTAGCTAGCTTGGTAGCTTCATAAACACACAGCCATGGCAATTCACTCCCCGACTCCATTCTCCTCCTTTTTATTTCCTCCTCCCTTTCCCAAGCTAGTAGGACAGCTGCTGGAGTCTGCACTTTGGCTTGTGATCTTGTACTGGACAGGAAGTTCAGAGAAGCTGAGGGAGTTGGAGCCAGCTCTCTGGAAACATAATTAATATACGCGTATGGGCAAAAATGTAAACAACATTTTTTTTTTTGCTGGGAATGTATGTTTGTATTATCTCTATTCATTAGTTAAAAAAAAAAAGTTTGAGTTCTTAATATTACTTTTAGAATAAAATCCAATACAGTGTATGTTGAGGATCTCTGCATGCAGCAGATTATTTCCTTCTCCAAATTAAAATGATGTTCCTTCTCCAAATCAAAATTATGTGTAGGCACCAAATGTTTGTGTCCATGTCAGGTTCACATTGATTGCCTTTAGTTCTTCTTGTGGAAGAGTGTGGTGTATTTTGGGCAACGCAGGGGCTGAGGAGAAACTGCCTGTAACTGCTTGCAATGTTAGCATCCATCAAAAGAGCATGCTTAACACTTTTCTGTATGTTTGTTTTGCAGCAACTAAGAGGATCGCCATGAGTGGAAATGAGCGGATCACCCAGGAGCTGTGCAAGGAATCGGAGATGAAAGATGGAGAGTAAGCTCTGAGCTGTATTGTAGATAAGGCGAGAACACTGCATCACTTGTATACCAGCCCCTTGCTGATGAGGCCCAATGAGCCAAAACAGTACTGTTCATATGCCAGACAAAAGCTGCTTAACACATTCAGTTGGTGGGCCAGTCAGTTGCATTACCCAAAAGCTCTTCTTTTGAATTGGGTTCTCTGCCTGTATTCAATATGAGACTGTGTGTAGGAGCCACCTGTATCTGCCATATAAGCAGGCTGAAAGAACAGGGTCTGTTGTCTCAATATCTGGTAGCAAGAGCAAAACTTAGTGACACTAAACTCAGCAGTTAAATCTATAAATGCATTCAAGCAGCCTAAGTGTTAACAGAAATGTATCTTATTTGTGTATCACTCGGCTGTAGATCCTCAAATCATCTCTGAATTGGTGCTGACACTGTCCTTCCTTCTGGAGGGTGCCTACTTTTGTTCCCCATGGTCCCTGTGTGTGTCCATGGGGAACCAAGCTCACTCCCATGATGGACTACAATCTCATGTTTAGTTTAATAATTTGTATTGAGATTGTAGTCCATCACAGGAGTGAGCAGGGACCATGGGGAACAAAAGTAGCCACCCTCCAGAAGGAAGGACATGGTCGGCACAAATTCAGGATCTACGCGGAGTCATACGTAAATAATCTAAATTGTTTTTTTTCTTTAATAATTAAGGTACATTTTTAAGATTTAACTCCTGAGTTGAGTGTCACGTTAAACTCAAATGTTCACAATTTGATGTAGAGATTATTAGGACTGCACCAATACTGGTATCGGTGGCGATACTAAGTACAAGTACTCGCCCAAATGCTCCCATACTTGCCCGATACCGGAACTTCCGGTCAGAGGGAGAATTCCTCTGACCGGCAGTGCCGCGACCAATCATAAAGCCGCGCAGCGGGTCATGACCGGCTTCCTGATTTTTCAGGAAGCCAGTTACCTTGGGATGCTGATATTGTTATTTGGTATCGGCGATTACCGGAAATAAATATCGGTACTCGCACTCCACTGAAAAAACGGTATCTGTGCATCCCTAGAGATTATTGATTGGTGTTCACACACTGACAGCACTGATATTTTGCTATCTGATTAAAATATGCAACTACACAACAGGTACATTTGAACACGCAGCACTTTATCATTAATAGTATTTTTTTTTTCCCGCATACCCTGCAGCAATTTCTGCTGTAAGCACATTTACATGCTTCCACATTCATATTTTTGTTACCGTATTTAATGAGATTTGTAGACTCGCTACAAGAGGCAGGGAAGGTTAGTTATTACAATGATTCTGCCTACCTGACCAAAGGGAATATGTAATGAACATTTAATGGGAACTGCCATTGCTGGCTTGTTCTTTTGAAAATGCTAGTTCCCTGGCTGTGAGTCTGGAGCTTTTACTTTGTACTTGTTCTTTGTGAGCAACACAGACAACATTAGAGATAAATAGTTCTGACATTTATTTACAGCTATTCTGGGACTATTGCTGAAAATACACATTTTTAGGCACAGTCAGACATCCTGCATTTTCAGAAAGAGGCCTTCAATGACATTCCCTATACTTCTCTCAGATAGTCACTTTGACTTCTGTTGAGATAGGATATTAGCCACTTGTTGTATGTGTAGCTCTGACATGCAGGAAGCAGAAATTGCATACTGTATGTAATAGGCAAATATGGCTCCATCATGTACATATGTAAGTACAAATTGTGCACAGAAACAAGATTTTTTTAAAAACATTAAGATCTAATGATAACATTATTTACACCAAGCAGATTGTTTCTTTGTATTTATATAATATATATATATATTCCTAACAGTAAATTAAAAAAATAATAATAAAGATAATTTTAAAAATACGTAAAAGGTTGGAAAAAAGTTATTTTCGGTTTTGGCCTGACAATTTTATATTTTCAGTTTCAGTCTAAAAATGTTATTTCGGTGCAACCCTAAATAGGACCCTTTGCATGTTGATGTTGTTTTATATTGTCTTTTTTGTTAACTTTATTCTAAAACTAAAGACAGCTCAGCATTTCTATGCTTACAGATTTATTTAAGGAAAAGTGAGAACAATAAAGCACATATTTACAAAATGTGGCTAATTAGTGATGTCCTCATAAATGGGTCCAATGACTTCGCCTCTCAGCTCTTTTTACATGTGTCATTGCTTTTCAGTGCATTGTACATACTCTGTATAGTAACGGCTCCTTTTGAAAATGTTGTTAGTGTAAAAGAATACAGACCTGTCCTTCATGCTGCCATATCTGCATGTGTACCACTGGTTCTTAGGGTTATATACTCTCTACTGGAATGAAGATCTGAGCCCAGAATAAATGTAAGCTGGGCTGGTAATATTAGTGATGTGACATTTTTCTGGAGATGTCCTACCTATGCCTCGCATATTAACTCTGTCTGTAAAAACAACATTGACTTCAGTGGAGTCTCCACCAAGACCAGCAGCAACATGTTCAGGGAAGGGAGAAGACCTAGGGTGAATGTCTTCATGCTTTAATTACGGTTATTGCTTTGCCATTTAAACTGCATTTCTAAGCTTCAGGCAGCTGTTTAATCTTGTCTGTGAAATAAGTAATTGGATTTACATTCACATAGAACAGCCTCTCATCACACTTTTTCTTACCAGCACTCAAACTGGGAGAGGGAGGGCCAGCACTTTGAGCCAGTCAGGGCTCTATTGTCCACAGGGATCATACGTACAGGAGGGTAGAATGCAGCCATGATCTCAGTGGCTTGCTGCTGTTCATTTATTGCCCAGTTAAAGATTAGAGTGGGTACAAAGTTAACCAGCAAAAAACAAAACAGGACTCGCATACATCAATGCTGTTTGTTAATAAAAGCAAAACCTTTTATATTACAGTTTTGAGACAAATGTTTTTGTGTTCATTTGACTGCTATCCCTTTTTTTCCTAAGCAGCTAGGCAAAGGCTGTGGGAGGAGAGAAACCACACTTCTGCTAATGCCATCACCCACTCTTTGACTTCAACTTCCATCAGTCCTTGTTGTACTACTGTAGGTAAAGTGAGATGGGTGATTAATGTCCCTGGTCACTCTTTGCCTACGGCGGTATATGGAATGGGGGTACTAATGTCGGTCATCCTGAAGGAGGGGAAGGACTGAATGTGATGGCCCATGCAGAAGTTTGCAGTCTCCTGGGTGAAAACCATGTGATGCTGGGAGACTAGGTTATTGCTTTTTAACTGATGTTTGTTCAGTTAAACAAACATGTATTTCGGGGTGTATTACACTAGTGTTACAAAGAGCTTTGTGCTTTTAAAATAGAGAGCATTTTATTGTCTACTAACTTCTTTCTTTGCATGCAGGATGCGGGAAATTGAGGTACAAGGAAGCAGTATTCTATTAGTAAAGAATAATGGAACATTCAGTGCTGTGGGCAACAAGTGTTCTCACTATGGAGCACCTTTAAGTAAAGGTAAGTCTTGGAGAGAATGAGCAGTAGACTCGTCCCACAACAGTGGTTATTCAGAGCCAGCCAACCAAATGTCATTCTTTATTTGTTGTTGTAATCTGAGAGAAGATCAAATGAAATCGATCACTGTGGGATACTGTACCTTATCATTCTTTGACTTGACTTATTAAATATTTTTGTTTCTTTGGCCATTTTCCATGTTGGATGGTAGAACAGTTTTTCAAATAGTTATAGGTGTGTAATGCACTCCTCCGTAAAATGACTGTGCTTACTGTAAATTCCAGTGTGAGACTGTGCTATTTGTTCAATATGAACTCAGTCTGATACCTACATGCCATGATGGTAAGCCCCTCCCACAATCATAATAAACCCCATCCTCACTAGTGGGTCGAGGGCTCATTTCTTCTGACAGCATTGCAGTGCATTATTCTTCCTTTTTCTACTACAACAAATGCAGTAAAATCGTCTGCAGGGCGGGATTTACAGTTCGGCACTGTAGGTAGGTGTCTATAGACAGCAGAGTCAAAGAAGCAGCTTTTACCTAGAATTCTTATGCAAACATTTCTTCCCCCATTATCAATAGGATAACATCATGTTTACACATTATTACAATATTTAAAGCCAGGTTTGGAGTAGTAAAACAAGAAAACTTTCTATTTAAAAGATGTGATCCTGACAGCTGGATTTTACTTTGGGCAATAAACATTGTGTGCCTACAGGCTGCAGTGGTGAAAATCCAGCCGCTATTGTCTGCTATAATTTTAGCACCATTTCAGTCAACAGAAGCAGTAAAAAAAAATCCACAACAAACATATAACATCTATGTATCATATCTAAGCCCTTATTCACATCTCTGCAATGCTACATCACAGAGGCGCTGCATAGTGCAATGTGGTGCACTACGATAGGGCAGCACTGTGTTAGGGCAGCCCATTCTTACTGCAGCGAAGTCATACTCAAAGAAGTGCAAGCAACTTTTATTTTTTTGATTGCACCGCACCACGTTGCACGGTAATAGGTTATTATTCCATGTGGTGTGATACAATGAGCATACCATGGCTAGGTGCCTTGGGGTGCCATTAAGAATAATGGCACCGCATTGCACCTAACATTGTAACATGCAATGCGGGATCATGTGTGGAATTGCATGCATTCCTGCATTGCAAGAATATGAACAGAGCCTAATGGGAGGCTACATTCTACTGACTATACAGCTTTGTAAAAACTTTTACATCTACTTGTACATAGCGTAAAAATTTTTCAAAATGTTAGCTAGTGTGTTTGCTTTTACTTGGCCTGTTAGAAGAATATAACAAATCCCTATACAATGTGGTTGTATTTGTTTCACAAGGATAAAATACAGCTCTGCTTGTCATTGGTTTAGTGTATTTATTTAACTATCACATACTCAACATACAACAACTACAGCATGCATAAATGCCATACAAACACAATGACAAGTGTAGCTGAATTATTTGCAAAGCTTGTGGTCTGAACTGCAGAGTTTGTCTACTACAAATGTCTTAACAGAAGACTGCATAGGCTTCAGGGCAGGCTCAAGGGTTACCTAAAATATTGAAATGAAATGCATGACTATAATTGGATGCATGCATTCATATGTTGATAATGTGTCACTTGTAAGATTAATATTGCAATAATCAGCTTGCAGGGGGATGTAGATGTTAGTCTTGATTTACAACTGCCATGCTCTAGAACAGTGCTCCCCAACCTTTTTATCGCCGCGGACCGGTAATTTTACCGTGGCCCGCTGAGGGGGGGACGTTGATTGTTTATATTTTAGATTGTTTTGATTTAATAATTTTAATTGTATTTAAACATGCCTTCAAAATAAAATACAGTTACACCAAAAAATTAAAGCGTTGGTTTGGTGTAGAGGAATGAGCTGTAATGCTTGGCGTTATTCCTTGCTCCAGCAGGCTTCATGTGCTCCCCTCTTCTATCAGACACTTCGGTTTTTTGGCAGGCCCTTGCCATCCTCATGTTCAATGCAGAGCTATGGGTCCTGCATTGTGTATTACATCAGAGGCTGCGAACATGGAAATACATTTGGCTGCGAAAATGGAAATATAAGTTTTTAAGGGTTATTTCACACCAGCCACAGTGCGTTCTGGCCGCAACGCACTGGACCGAATTACGGCCGGCTCACTTTGTTGTGGGGTGGGCGCGGGCGTGTCGGTGCATTGAAGTGAATTACACCGCAGCCACGCCCTCCGGCCGCAATGCGATCGGCCGCACAGGAACAAGTGGCACATCAATGCCTGTGGCCCGGTCAGAAAAAATGCTGAAGCACTATTTTTTTTTTCTGACCGGACCAGGACGCAGGCAATGCGGTCCAGTGCGTTCTGGCAAGATTCGAGCCGGAATGCACTGTGGCTGGTGTGAACTAGCCCTAGGGGGATCAGTTGCACAGTGTGGAGGAAGACTGCTGGAGTGATTTAAATAAGGTAAGCATTACAGCTTATTCATCCTTCCCCTAGAAGATAATTTAATCCTTGCAGTGGGGAAGGGTAGGGTGGCCCACGGCAAGGGAGTGCTCCAAGGCAAGAGTGTCTTTGGGTGGGCAAATCCTTTAATAAAAAATAAAAATAAAAACACCAATTCTATAATTTCTTCTTGCCTAATTTAAAGTACTTTAGATTGCAGCTAAACATTTAAACACTGACCTGCTTAACTCTGCAGGAAATTGGGGTCTGTGCACACTAATGAAAGGATGTTAGGGATGCCTTGTTTGATATAATTACTTGTGTCTGAAGATGCTCTGCAGATGTTTTATCAGCCACCAAGCTGGACGCTGGAAGAATTGAGAGTAGTTGAGGATCTTAGTAGATTTAAATAGCAAGAAATGTTATATTTTCAGACTTGCTTGTTTTGTTGGCTATATTAAAATAGCTAAGGTGTGTTGAAAAATACACTTTTTTTGAGTGGGGGTCATTTTTGTTATGTTTTAGATCGATGGTACAATACACATACAATGTCACTTGTCATAGGCCAAGCAAATCATGCATGTTAGAAGACATTGGCCTGTACACAGTGCACAACAGGCACCAAAGAAGAACAAAAAGAAAAATGACAGCTCTTTATAGAGATTTTATATCTACAGTATAATCTGGCAGATGCAAAAGAAAAGATTATTACAGTGTTTGTTGTGTCTTGTGCCTTGTGTTATTGATGGACATCACTAATATGTACATTAGTACAACATCCTATGTGTAACAGTTTGTTCTTACGAAAGGTTAGTGGGTTAGGAGATATTTATGGAGGTTGTTCTATGCCATAACCTTATCCCACTGACCATGTCTTATCAAATTTCTGCACCCCCCTGGCTAAATATGTCAATTTATACAAGGGAATGTTTTGATTCCTTAACCCTAACTAGCCGGAGATACTGGGAGTGTTGGTACTCTTCCAGTGCAATGGTGATATATTTTTTGCATACTCATTCTTTAATAGGGACACTCAAACAGAAATTGGGTAACAAATTACCAGACATATCTGTTCTGTATGATACACCTCCTAAAGCCTGCAGTGGGTTGCTAGTGTTTTTGTGTTCTTTAGTCTCATATTGCAAAATATAATCTGTTAATGTTATGTAAATGATGTTCACTATGAACTCATTGCCCAAACCCGTGACAAAACAGTCCCAGTTACCCAGTTAGTTTTTTTTTTTTTACACACGATACTATATTTTCTTACGTTGAAGAATGTTTTCATGACTTCATTAATGTGTATATCTGGTGTCTAAAATTAGACAGTATTTCTTGTTTATTATTTGTGGTAAGAAAGGGGTACTATTTTACAATGTGGGTTGGCAATGCTGCCATACCCTGTTGGTTAAAGGAGAATTATGGGTGAAGAATTATGGAGAGGGTGAAATACTCATCCTCATAATTAGAGCCGATGTGCGACACTGAAGCTGCCACATGTCGGGTCTATAAATCAAGAACTGAGCGATCACATAACGATGATCACTGAGTTACCGATCTTCTCCCTGCAGAGATTGGTGACTGACATTCACCACTCCCCGCATGGGGCAGGCAAAGCCTTAGCCTCTAGAGAGACTAAGCCAGCTGTCAATCAAGTGGCAGGGTGGATCCCAACAATATTGTTGGGATCTTTCCTGGCTGCAGCACGGCTCTGCTGTCAGCATATAGCAGGCAATAGCTCGCTATATTCTGAGTTTCGGGTCACAGGAGGACATAGTAAATGTCCTCCTGTGACCCTAAAGTTCTCTTTTTAAGGCTGCATTCACACCAGCGGATGACTCTGGATCCTAACCGTAACCTAAAGTAGTACTATACTCTTAATCTTTCTTTTTTAATAATGAATCCAGATCAAATATACATTGCCCAGCAAAGTATTTTTAAAATTTTTGAACAAGCACTTAGTCATCATGTTTCCAAATAGCTGCTTTAACTTTCTCAGCAAAGCTTCCCTGAACTTCCTGTTGAGTACAAGATGGCAGGGAACAGAGCAGACTCCAGCAGCTGCCCATCTACTAGCTTGGGGAGGGGAAGAGGGGGAAGGAGAAAGGAGGAAAGGGCAGCAAGAAGAAAGGGGGGGG